ATCATCCCCAGCCATCGACCTGAGCCATTCTCATAATTTTATTTGCGATGAGCTAATCGACCGTGCGGCGACCTACTTTTTACGGTCCTCATCTTCCAATATTTCGTAGTCATCGTCATACTAGCGTAAAATAATTCTTAGTTGCTCTCTTGGTCGCTACAATTACGATGTTGTCCATCGCAACGACATCAGAGGAACAAATGAACAAACGGCATCGGAAGTACAACGGGGATGGTACGACGATGTCGGTGTGGGCGGCGATGTCGAACCGAGGGGTTGAAACGCGGGAAAGTCCCTCGGGTCCCAATTACACCGACACCCGATCCCAGCATTACGGCCCGGCTAATTCGAGGGGAGAGTCGTATATAAATCTCGGCGAGTTGATTGTGCAGTTTCAATTCCGTTTGTCGCTCGACGACGTTGGAGATAACGCGTCGGCAGGTCGTTACAGTTACTTTTTCACCGGAGAGATTAATTCCGTATCAGAGTCGCGCGACGCGACGCCTCGTTCGATCGAGCGTGTCCCATAACTGTAATCGGATACGATTGAGCGTAATATTTGTCATTAAAGATAACTACCTCGCGTCGAGTGCGTTACCGATGAATTACTGAGAAAACGTTTTTGTCTACGAAATAATACCATGCTACGTATGTAATTTCTTTACGACTGTTTCAATGGATATAAGTTTTGTTTCTCATTTATCCTCACAGTGCCAGAGACAAGCGAATCGATAAACATGGCTTAGTAACGTGATATGATTGATGGAACAACGATCACGCGGAGTCTTTTCTTTGCTCGGAAAATCTCACGGTACAACTTAAGGTTAGTTAACAACGCTTCTCGCAGACTGCCGCGAGAGGGATGTAGGAGGAGAGCTTGAAAGGGGTGTTTCTCTCGACGGGGCTCGCGACAAACGGCTAGGCTAATTACAGAGAGGCCACAGCTCCATGTAAACCGGCGGCAAAGGCAGCTGTCGGTTCCCAGGCTACTGTGGTTTCGATGGTTTACGTGTGTCGAGAGCTTTTTGCTTTTGCGTGAAAATGTCGTCGTTCGTTAATTCGGTGGTACGATATGCCCGACCAGAATATCCGCCAGTGGATCAGATCCAGAAGCCGTCGCGCGTTTCTTTCCATCGTGTTTATTATTCTTTCGTCCGTTCGCACGTATCGTTTCAATACTAATATTAATATTAGTACGAGCAGATAAGTACCAAGCCAAGTGTACTTGCCCAGAGCCCAGTTCCGTAAAAATCTGAACGCGAAGTCTAAATGCGATCTTCCGCGTTTGCGTAAGCGCCAGAAGAACGTGGGAAACACACCTCGTAAGCATCGATACGATACTTCCTCATATGGTTCAGTTGCATAGAAAAAAAGATAAAACAATGACGCCATTCCTGTTTCTGCGTTTTGAACTCTACGATGTTTATGCACAGTAAATAAAAAATAGATTAAGTATTCGTATATCATTACGTTATAAGTTAGCACTTATATAAAACTTTCAATGAATAGTAATTTAAGCATTTAAATATGGAAATAATTCTAATAATTGGCTAATTCTGATAATTCTTTTTAGCTAAACTTTTTGCACGGTTCATCTCTCTTCCTTTTTTTTCTTTTTACATTGGAGAAAAAAAGAGAAAAAATGAACTGTGCAAGAAGTTTATCTAAAAAGAACAGATCTAATCATTCTGTTTTCGGAAGACTGGTAATAACCGGAAACGAGTTCCAACGTGGAGGTCGTTGCTCTTTCGTGTATTCCATTCAGAATTATGAGACGTTGTGCATTCACTAGCTGCGAAAGGTCATCTTATTGTTCGCCGTCGACAAAGTCGCGCATCCAACTGGCAATTCCCTCGCCGTCACGATACTACCGAGGAAGGAAGCCGGATTTCTCGCAACCCCTGCTAAGATAATACGACCACCCACCCGGCGGGAGGTCGAAGATTTCAACCTTTACCGAAATGCCAAACGGGGCTTTAAATGGGCTAATAACGCTGCCTTTCCCCCTTCAACACGCTGCTGTCGTATCGCGTATATACGATTTCGATTCTGTCGCACAAATTGCCTGTAAAAGTATATATAGTATATAGCGAAGCCTCCTTCGTCACTTGTCACTCGTCTCTCATAATAACGTCGTGATGACGAGAATTGACGAGACATTCTCAGGGAATAGCAATTTGTTTTTATCGACATTAACGTTCCTAATTAACGTTGTACACTTTGTCGCGTATTTTTAAACTCGTTAAACGTTTTTATTATTGGCGCTCGGAGTTCACCTGACAATCCCGAGCGAATGCGCGCGCGTGGGCTGCTGTCTTGTATTTTAAACCCCGGATGGCTTGGCAAGGAAGATTCGCGCACGTGTGCATCGTGCGCCGTTCTGCGGGAAAAAGGGGTGTGCAGCAGTGAGGTACTCGATCGGAAAAACTGCCGACGGATACGCCCTCGTTAAAGCGCACCGAGGTCGTCGTCGTCCTCGTCGTCGGCGTCCTCGTCGTCGTCGTCGTCGTCACCGGCGAACGGTAAAGGTTGACACGGTATCTCTTACAAGACGGTCATTAGTCGAATGAGAGGAGGAAGTCTTATGAAGTGCCTGCGTAAATATCTGTGGGACTGGCCGGTCATCAATCATCTTAGAATCCTACGAGCCGCGAGCTCGCTATGCACGAAATTACGTATCGCCTTACGTCTCGCGACGCCACGAGACCCGCCCTGAGCAGAGAGACGAAATTACATGGAGGGTTTCTCTTAACGAACTATTATTTTTTACGAAAGGAATTTTTCCCGTCTCTCGAGTCTCGGCGTAATTTTGTGGAGATAATATATCCTGGTGCCGTATTCTTTCCAAAAATATCGCATAAACTACACAAAATACTATATATTATACGTCATGTATATTACAGATTTCCCTAGTATTTTCTTTCAAAAATACTAATATGCAAAACATTCATATACAATAGTACACAGTACAAAAAATATATACGACATTTTTCGAGAATTAGACTTCGTATATCATATACTCGTCGCTATGGAAATGTAAAGAGATAAGCAAAAGAAATTTTCTTCGAAACCATTTCGAGAGAGAGAATTTTTTCATCTAAATATTATTAAAATATAAATCAATAATAATACACGGAGATCTCACGTCATATTGCCATTTAAGTGATAACGTAATGTTGCACGCGTGCGAAATACACAGGCGAAATACACATATATCGTTCACACGGATAAAGTTATCGATAGGCCGCACAATGCGGGCAGACTATTTACTATATTTGCGATATCATAGGGCGAGTAATGGTTTCGCTTGACGTTACGGTCGGAAGAACGAAGTAACAGAAGATAGAAGATGACGCGAGAGGGAGAAAGAAAGAGAGACAGGGTGGATAGGATATTCCGTGAGACTGGCTGTCATATTCATGTATTGACACCGAGCTGGTTGACTAATGGACTGCTGTTGTCACAGGCTCGTGTTACCGCGAGGGCCTGGCCTCGCCGAGTCGTTTTTCCTGAGAATCGACTGAAACGCATTCGCGTCTATAACATTCGTCTCGTGTTTATCGAAAATTCAGTCTTGTACGAATTGAGAGTCATTTCGAACAGTAACATCGCAAGGAATCGCATGTCAAATATGTTAATTCGGATCTCTCCTGAAAAGGCCTCTAAAAAAAATTTTATATCATGTGTGTTTCACTGAACAATATTTTAACTGCACCATTTTTCTGAGGCATATGGTTACGCCAGTTACCAAAAGACTATTTCACTCGTTATTCTTGAATAGAACAGCACGTCGCGTTTCGTAAAGCCGCGAATGGCGTGGCCGTTCTTCCCGACTTTTACATATTTATCGAGCCTCGCATTGTTGTCACGTCAGACGAGAGACGTCGACATTGTCGAGCCTCGAAAATCCGCGATATTATATCTGCAAGCTGGAACCGAAGATCCAGTTCTGATCCCCGTTACGGTACCTTCCCTTCTCTCTCTCTCCCCCAGTTTGCGTACTTTTATGACGTCATTCTAAATCCATACGTATTTAACGCGAGGAAAATTGGAGAAAATGAAAAATGAGTGATCAAAATTTTCGATTAAAACGACAACAATTTCACAGTATAATGCATACTTTCATCTTATGTCAGCTTTTGATTTACGCAAATTCGAATTTACATGGTGGGTTACAGGTAACGTATTAATCGCGTAAATTGAGAGTTATCTGTATGCCCCTCTCACCTGTCCGTTCGATATTTCATCGAGCTCAATAACATATTCAGCTTTTATAATAAATGGCACTCGCGAAATTTTCGTTTTTGTTGATGTGCTTGTTCGGAATTACACGCTACAGAATTACAGAGGAATGAATGAACGAATTGGAAATTGCATCAGATAGAACTTCGACGAAAGGGTCAAGAATAGCAGCATGGAATTGAGGGTTAAAGGGAAATGGATAACGAGCACGCAACGGTAACTATTTTATTACCGTTTGATATCTGATATGAATTCGGTTAGGCAATCTCAAACTTCGGTCTGATCCCTGCCTTCCATTAGACGTGAAAACGCCTAGAAGATGTCGAGTCAGGGGCGAGTTTAAAGTGGGTGAAGGGAACGTTATGGAGGACGCGAGTTAAGGCGAGAGACCCCCAACGTGGAATAATACGATACGCAGGAATCGACGGACGCACGGACGCGAGATTTTACGACACGGTACCTCTATGGCTTCTTGATTTATCGACGAGTTAAGCTTCGGCTTCGAAAACCTGCTCGAGGCGCGTTCGATGTACGCTCGTGAGATTACCGTGTGTCGCGGATCGCGCGTTCTCGGCCTTTCAATGCATTACTTGTCGGCCAAGTCAATTTTCTCAAAACTGTAAGTGCGAGGGACGCGGAGCGGATTGGGTGCCACTTGTAAACTTGAGTAAGCTGACCGTCTCGATTCGATGTTTCGTAGAAGGACACACCTCCTCTCGCGATCTCGACCAGGTAAACTCTTGTACTCTTGTACTCACCTCGCACCTTCTGCTCGTCTTGTAGCTGCCGCTCCAGACTGTCCTTGACCTCCCGCTCCCGAAGAACGTCCATTTTCAGCTCGGCTGTAACACACACAAGATAATGGAAATTTATTTAAACGTTCTTGTGCACTCCTCCAGAGAATGTAAACCACCTCGGGATACGAAGGATGACTCTTCATTCAGTTCTGAGAACTCAAGTTTTCGCTTCCCCTATCATATCGTTAGTTTTAATTGCTCGATTACCTAGTTCACGCGAGAATGCTTAAGACAACCGAGTGTCTCCATTCTTCATGAATAATTACTAGAAATCGTCTCATCTTCTCGAGAAGGCTTCATCAAGCAGGATTAAATTTTCGACTGTAAATTCTGAAAACGCGAAGGATTTGTAAATCAGCTATAGTGGTTAATTTGACAATAAGAGTCTCTCCCAGCTTTCTCCACCTGCCATCGTCCAAGAGGTGCTGCGGGGAGGATATCGCACGGTTGACTGAGTTCGTGATTAAATCCAATGGCGATGGGCAGACCAGAGCTCGCATAGTTACCTCTAATAGAATTATATTAAGACATGGAGTCTCTATTCCCCTGGTCTTCCCGCTTCCACCTGCTTAGTTCATGTTTCTTGTCCCGCGTACGACTTCCCTCCTCATCCCGTTCTCCCTATCATCGTCTCCGACTTGTAGAACTCCCCCGTTCCCGTGGGAGCCACCGCGCTAAATTAGCCATTTCGAATCTCTGCTAGAGGGTCGTTAGGACGAGTCCAGAAACTCGTTGAACGGTACTAAGAAACCCATCTGCGCCATACGGTGACCAGTTTTCAGTCACTCTCGTGGCGAAACGTGACATGCTAAGATAAGCGTAAGCATATAAATGAGAAAATTAAAGAGTACGTGAATGTGTAAATGACGGCCTCGAATTATAGAACTTGGAAAAATTCTATCTTCTCAGAGTTTAGAGGATCATAAAATCATTTTTAAGACTGGTAATATGATAAAACGTTTCCGGGCTTTAACTCAAGCAAGCTAATTCGATTTAACGGAAGAAAAGTAAGGCGGCGGAAGAGGCTCCCTTCTCTCTCTTTCCTCTGACTCCCCGGCCTCTCGAATTACATTCGTAACGCACGTCAGCTTACCGGACTATTTGTAGATTTTTTGCTATGCTGTTAACAAGAAATTGTACGTTGTAGATTCGAATTAAATAAATGAAAGTGTACATAAATTTGAGATACTAGGCTCACATATATTAATTCTAAAGAAAGAAACTTACTCTCTGAAATTTTTTGAGTGGAATCTAATTCTAAAGAGTGGCAAAGAGTGGCAATTGAGCCAATGTTGAAAAAGAGTGGCTCAATTGTCAATTGTTAAGAGTGAGATTTCGCTCTTTAAAGTTAGATTCCACTTCAAAGATTTTAGAGAATATAAAAGAAGAAACGCGTTCAATAACGATTTCATTTATCTCGCTCATGTATTCATTTTTCACGTGTGGCGTTTTCATACCTCATCGGGGAAGTATAATAAAATTTGAAACAACATTTAATTCGCTTATCGCATTTCGCAAGCTTTTAAAAGACTCTTTTGCAGACTCGTGTATATGCTACCGTCGCATTAGCAGCAATTATTTTCCGACCTGGGTTCTCGTGGAGAATCCAAAAAGTTTCGCGACATACGTACAGGCTGAAGCAGCGACGAGAGAAAGAGAGAGAAAGAGAGATATGAAGCCTGACAGAGAATCAAGCCGGTAGATTAGGTAGGGCCGCGTCGTCTCAGCAGTCTGCCAGCAATTTGAGAGCGTTTGCGAGGTCCATTAACGGCGGTAACTCTTCACGACCGGCCGCCACGAAGATTCAATTTGAATGCTAACCAGAATAGGAAGTTCGCGCCGGGGCCCCATGGTATATACGCCGCGCGCTGTGTTCCTTCTCTCCCCCTCTCGTCCCTCTTAGCCCCCGTTATCCCCTCGCCACCCTGTTATTGCCAATTTCGGCGCGTTTCTGCAGCCCACTTTGCGATCGTTTAGATTATCATCTCTCCCGGTTTCTCTTTCTCTCGACGGCCCTGGGTACCCTCCGCCCCGCCCCGTTACCCCCTTTTCCGTATCTTCTACATTCTGTTCTCCCGCTCCCACCCCCGGTCCGCTCTCTCTCAAACGTTTCCGGGGATAATTGAACTTTATTAGAGATCGTCGTCGACGAAACACCAGCCCTTGCATCCACCCCGAGGCTTATTCCGGATCGACTTGATTCTGAGATGCTTTAACGATTACTCCGTTCGCTCGCTTATCTTTCTCTCACTCGCGAAAACGCCTCTCAAATCTATGCCGCGACGAATATCTTGAGAGTACATCGGCTTCTGTTTCTCTGATCGTCGCGTGTTACGCTTCGTGAATGATTTCATGTTCATACAAAATTGTAAAATTAATTTTTAACAAAACTATCTTTCGTGATTGATATGTACAATACAACCTGTCTAAAAGCATATTCGTGTTCAATGTCGCTACACACATCGCATCGTTCGAATTATTCTTTGCCTAGAGGCAGATGCTACGTCATGTGCGAAATACCTTTTCTCAGATCTTGCGTTCTTTTTACAGGCGCACAGTGGCGTGAGTTTCGTCAAGGGACGACTGGAAAAGTTTGTCGCGATGGAAAAAACTGGAAATCAATTATGCGAGCCCGGCGCTCCTCGCCGTGGGGGAGGAGCAACCTTATTGAAATTTGGCTGCGGGGTCGTAAGCATTAAAATTGCAGGGATTAATATTAGCCGTGGTGAAAAGCGCTTTACTCGCTTTCCTCGTAAGGAAATGATTCCACCGCGCCGCGCCGCTCCGTTCGGTTATAAAAGCCCGGCCCGTTCTATCATTCTTATGTCAATTAGACGAGCCCTAATCGCGACCCGGCTCATAAACCGAGAATTATATCTTTAATTTTAGCGGTCGTATTCAGCCGCTTGCGAAACAGGATTCTGCCCTACGCGCTTTCTTTACCGCTACGGGCGAGACTGCTTTAACCACGACAGATAGGTGGTAATTAATGACGAGAGACTGTACGTCGGTCAATTTCGTTACCGACTTTGACGTCTAAGAGAAATATAATATAAACAGCGACTGAAAATATATGGTATATTTTACATTAACATTACATTTTTGTCCACAGAAAAAAAATGATGGTGTATTAACAGCATTGACCAACAGCAGTCTAATTGAAAATAATGTTGTTAATTCAACGATCTTGTCAATTCAATGACAGTATTAATGAAACACATAACATTTTATTAGAACAAGAGCATGATGAATTTGTTTAATACTGTCATTAATACTGTTATTGAATTGACAGTAAGGTTATTTTCAATTAGATTATTGTCGGCCAATGCTGTTAATACATAATTTTTCCCGTATACTATTTGCACTGCTAAATCATTCTTCTTGAGTATCAGAAGATACTCAGTGATAAATATTATATGAAAACATACTGTATAAAAAGATGAAAAATAAGAAAAGAATAAAAATGTAATTAATATTTGGCAAATTATTCCGATGTCATTTCAGATCTTTCCGTAGTTAAATAGTTAAGTCTTTTAGTTGCTTACGCTTTTATACATGTTCATATGCATTTCTCGACTATGATGTTCGGTAGTGTTAGTAGCGGATACATTTCCGAGAGCCGCGTTCATCACGATTTACGAGTTTCTCACCGGACGGCGAACGATATCGCGAGCGGGCTCAAGCGGACCTAGGATCGTTGGCGATAATAATTTTCACGGTGGCGCGAGCACTCGCATAGTAACAATAACGGTGCAACGGAACGTGCATGGCACTGTTACCGGAGCGATTCATGGTTATTGATTACTATATATATATATACGGTCGCAGGAAGACGAGAGAGGCTGTGGTATAGCGTTCACAATCCCCGAGGGTTTGTACCACGACGTGGTGTACATACAGGCACGCACAAGCAAAGATATTATGTGTGTGCATACATATAAATATATACGTACACACATATCCACGGCAAATGTATATCTCTACGTAGTTGCGTACACTCGACGCTAAGATATTCGCAGAGCCCTAAGGCGACCCTCAAAAACAACAATGTCAACTTGCCCGGCGCGGCCCGCAATCGTTTGAATAGTATAATGTAGTTTTCGTGTTACAACTCACTCTCCTTCGTATACAAGCCTCGTCTAGCGCCTACGAAACATCAGCCTTTTCTTTTCGTGACCTGTTCGAAACGTCTAACATCGGATCGTTGCACTTTCGTGGGTGAATAAAATATTTACAAACGACAAGACGAGAAGGAGACCCGGAATCTCGAGGCCGCATGCGAGATCGGCGGGTATTTATGAATTTAATTTTAACGGATCAAGAGCGGTAATAAAGCGCGGGCAGGAATTAACCGCCGGATTATTTCGGTAATTTACAGCCCCGGGGAACGCGCGTCTGGCATTCTCTTATTTGCATCGTGATACCCATCGTGGTATGGTTTCGCGTATCTTCTGCGATTCTTCTGAAGAAAGTTTCCCCTCGAAAAGTTTCCTTAAAATATCTTTTTCTCACGTGCATCTTAATTACGCAATCTCGAGCTCTCGCATCTCGATTGCTGTCGTTTCGTGTTTCTCAAAGGGATCCAAAGCCCATCGACGGCTAACAGCGAACTCGAATTTCATAAATTTCGCACCCTAATCCTCATTAATCCCGATGTTGCACTATTTGCCTACGAGATTGAACCGCTGGAAACGAGAATATTGTTGTTTCCACCCTTGCATATTACAGCCGAATAATGATTAAGTATATATCCCGAGTTAGTTCTGTCCTCCGGGTATAAGTCCTTTGCGGGAGATACCTTCCGCTGAATTTCAATTGTCGACGAATGTTAATGACATTTCCATATATCCTCCGCGATCTCTCGAAGAATATTACAATCAAAACAGATCGATATAATTGCAAAAATTGTTGTAATTAAATTCCATATACATACATATATGTATAGACTTTTAGTTAATGAAATGACTGCTCCAATTACGCTTATATTAACGTGCACACGGTTATTCAATTTCCATGCTTTCCACGAAATAAGCACATCCTATCGC